TCTCTCCCCCGGGACCCGCCGCCACCGCCAGCACCACCCGGAGGTAGGAGAGGATGCTGTGGGTGTGTGGGGAGCCCGGGAGCAGCCCGGCCGGGCCTCGGGAGGGCCAGGGAGGCCCAGGTTTGGGGCTACTCATCTTCTGAGGAAGGTCCCGGGAAGACAAGGGAAGGAGGCGGGGCCGGGTCTCCGGAGGGGGCGGGGCAGGGGTCGGGCCGAGTCTTTGTCTGGATGTAGCAGCTGGAGGTTGGGCCGCTGAGGAAGGGGGTTCAGGTGTGGGGAGTAAGAGGGCTTTTCGTTCTTAAGAGTGTGGTGGGAAGTGATGCCGCGCTGTGGAGAGGCACACAGATTTCCCTCCAAAATCTTGTCACTAGGAACATTCAGATGTTTCTTGCGTTCTGCTTGGCGTTTTCTTCCCTGTGCTAAGCCTTGAAACAGCTAACCTTGTAGATTAGATGTACCTGACCTCACAGAGATGTTGGACCTAGTTGTGCACTCTGCCCTCCGATCTTCTGTTGGCATTGCCACACAGCTTGCACTACTTAGGAACAAACTGCTATTTCTCTCTCAAAAGGAATAAATTACCTATGTGAGGGTCGGGAAGATATTAATAATTGGGCCATTAAATGGAAATGCTGCAATGCTATGTCTCACTTCACGCCTGACTTTTGAAATGTTGTTTGTAATCTGCCAGGCTCTTGTCAGGATGGTGAAGCTGTTCATTGGAAATCTGCCCCGGGAGGCCACAGAGCAAGAGATCCGCTCACTCTTCGAGCAGTACGGGAAGGTGCTAGAATGTGACATCATTAAGAACTATGGCTTTGTGCACATAGAGGACAAGACGGCCGCTGAGGATGCCATACGCAACCTGCACCACTACAAGCTGCACGGAGTGAACATCAATGTGGAAGCCAGCAAAAATAAGAGCAAAGCTTCAACCAAGTTACATGTGGGCAACATCAGCCCCACTTGTACCAACCAAGAGCTTCGGGCCAAGTTTGAGGAGTATGGCCCAGTCATCGAATGTGACATCGTGAAAGATTATGCCTTTGTACACATGGAGCGGGCAGAGGATGCCGTGGAGGCCATCAGGGGCCTTGACAACACAGAGTTTCAAGGTGAACTGTTGTGGGGCTTGGGTGGCAGAGCTTCCTGGAGTCTAAGTCAAGGCAGAGGCAAGAACATAAGACCATGGGGCTGTGAGAGTGGCTTCTTTCATTCTCTTTTAATTGAAATGGATAGATGATGTTTACTATCCTAAGTATATAGTGTACTCTTAGTACACTATATTTTCCAGTAAACATTTTCCATTTTGTTTGCAAAGATGTTTCTCCACAACTGTTGGGTTACAAATTGTGGGTTACTTTATTTGGTCTTTATTCACTTGATTGCTGCTAGCAAGAAGTCTAAACTGTCTAGGCAAGAAATGTGAGAAGTGATTATGACTTAGTGGCTGCTTTTGTTGTGATCCAAAAGCCTTAGTTTTTTATATTCTGATGGATTTATATTAAATGATGGGTGGTGGTATCAAAGTGGAAAAGGAGTATCTAGAGGAAGCACTGTATGAGAAATCTGAGGTGTGTCTAGTTGGGGGGAGGGGATAGGTATCTTTGAGGTGTCCAAATTTGTTGAGTCTGTGGACTACAAGCAAAGCCAGTAACATGCCATAGGTTCTTATGTTCCACTTATTACTTACCTCTAACAGGCTAAAAATTTTTTCTTTAGAAATTCAAGGTTGAATGGGAATGATGGTCTTGCTTCTGGTGAAATTCCAATGAGGGCATCATAGAGCTTACTGTGTTGCTTATATTGACAACAAGTATATATGTATTATCATTAACAGCACAGGACCTTGTCTGAAAACCCTGGAATTGTGTTATTATAATAGCCATTATCTGCATGGGCTAGTAAATTTAAATTAATTGAAGTAAAATTTCAAAATTGATTTTTCCAGTGTGGGCATATTTCAAGAATACAGGAGTCACATGAGGGAAATGACTACTATATTAGGAAACATATAACAGACCCACATTGCAAAAAGCTCATTGGTTAGCACAGTTCTACAAGGCTTTTATTGAGTGTTATTGAGTTGGATCACATAGTCAAGGCTACTTTTTTTTTTGTTTTTTGAGACAGGGTTTCTCTGCGGCTTTGGAGGCTGTCCTGGAGCTAGCTCTTGTAGACCAGGCTGGTCTCGAACTCACAGAGATCCACTTCCCTCTACCTCCCGAGTGCTGCGATTAAAGGCGTGCGCCACCACCACTGCTGGGCTCAAGGATACTTTTCAAGTTCCTAAGTTAACACCCTTTTTTGCTCTAAATACCACTAAAACAGTTAAATAAAGATCCTCTGCTAAACTAGAAAACAATGAAATCATGGGAAAAGGGGAAGTTAATCTGAAAAGTCTTAAGTATACAAATAGTGAAGCTTACTGGAGGCTCACGATCATGTATTCTAGTTTCATCACTAATGCCCTGGCCTTTAGCTACTGAAAGCCTAGGGCACAAGTTGCAGTTAAATCCCTGTTCTTACTAGCAAGTTGAAAGGTGCACCCCCCCCCCCCAGTGCTTTCCCTATTATAAAATAATGATCTCTTATGTGGCTCCCTCAAAGAATGGTAGTGAGATCAGAATGAGGTAATAACTATACTTTGGCAATAAAAGCAATTTACAATGAAAGATGAGCGCTATTTGCAACCTTGTTTTTTTTCTACTCTCGTTAGAAAAATATTTAAAATATGGTAAATCCTGCCCTCCCATCCCCGACACATGCACACACAGGATCTCTCTGTATGAGTCCCGAATGTTCTAGAACTCACTTTGTAGACCAGACTGGCCTCCAAGTCACAGAGTTTAAGCCACCCCACCCCCCTTAATTTGAAACAATGCTAGCAAACTTTTTGAAAACATTTCCGATTACTGATTATTTTCACTTGCTGTGGAAGGTGGTCATAGATGGACAGGGGAAAGGAAGGCAGGAGTTTTCTTGCCTCACCCCCTCAGTTCTGGTATCATTCAAGGGCCCCACAAATGTTGGGCTAGTGCTCTACCATTACCATTGGCCTGTATGTTCCCATCCCTAATGAAGGGTTTTGCTTATCAGGTAACAAACAAAATGGAAAAAAACTTAAAGTACTAACTTTGCATATAAATTCTCATAGTATAATATCAAATGCCCTTTTAAAGGAAATGGGGAAATAGCTTAAAAAGATGAGTACTTTTTGTGGGTTGTGGGGTACTGAATATTGAATCCAGGGTCTTGAGCATGCTATGTACACAGTACCCCTTTTGGCCCTTGTATTTATTTAATAACACATATAATTGAAATGGGGATCTGAATAATGCAATGAAGGTATTTTTATTATACATGTACACATATATCAATAATCACTCCAATAGAAAGTACAAACAGTAAATGGAGTTGAAAAAGAATAATCATTTATTTGGTTTCACGTTCTTTTTCTGTCTTTTCTGGAGAATGTAGTTTACTCCAAGCTATTTTTTATTACATGCAGATAGTTTTTCTAATGAGCTAATTTTTTTCCCTCAGGTGGCAACAATGTTTAGTATTGGATAATGCATTTTGTTTGTTGAGACAGGTTCTTGATGTACACAGCCTAGGGTTACTCTCAACTCAAAGTCCTCCGGCTTCGAACTTCTGACTGCTTGGGTTGTATATGTAATTCTGTCACATACATATGTTACAGAAAATACAAGCTAGATGCCAATTTGGCATTTTGTTCACTTTAAAGCCTTTTTAATATAAAAGGTGCCACTTTGAGCATTTTTTGAACCTTTATTCTGTGTATTAATGGTTGTCTCAAAGTTATGTTTCTGCATTGTATAACTTCTAAAAATAGAATCTGAGTTTACCTGAGTCTTTCAAGATGTTTCCTCTCCACAGGCAGCAGTGAATGCAGTTTGAATTGGAAACTATAACGAAGCTGTTCCCAAGTAATCATCCGGGCAGCTGAATTGGGAAGGATATGTAAGAATTTAGGGGCGTTGTTTCAGCATTAAGTCAGTGGATCATTATGTCAGCTACATCTCCAGTCTTCTTTGACCTCTGACCCAAGACAAAATTTCAGAAATTAGAATTAAGTTTCCCACCTTTTAGAATTTTAATGCTCTCTTTTGGTCCAGCCTCCAAGAGAAAATACTTTTAGTGGGCTGGTTTTCTAAAAATTATTGGCAAATTTCAGTAACTTGGAGGTTCGAGAAAATTTAAGAGTTCCATCTGTCTGAATTTAGTAGAGTGGCAAAACTTCTACCTGTTTCTAAAGATAACAGAGAAGCACAGTACTCTTTCAGAATTTGAGATATTCTAAATTGAAAGTCCTTGTAACCTTTAGAAAGAATGTAAAACAATGGAGACACCTATCTCTTATATTGCAGGTGTTTTTAAATCTAGGTCAAAAAGAAAAAAATTATTGGCATCCTTTTCACAATTACAGAAATAGATTTTGCCAGAGTTGATGAAGTAAAGTACAGTCATCCTCTTAAGTGAAAAGTAGGAATAGGAGCCAGGCAGTGGTGGTGCAAGCCTTTAGACCCAGTACCTGGGAGGCAGAGGCAGGCTGATCCCTGTGAGTTTGAGACCAGCCTGGTCTACAAGAGCTAGTTCCAGGACAGCCTCCAAAGCCAGAGAAACCCTGTCTTAAAACCTACCCCCCCCAAAAAAAAAGCTACTACTGTTTCCACTTTATTTTTGAGTGGTGCTGGAACTTGGCCTTGCACATAGTAGCAGAGTGTTCAACCACTGAGATGTATGTCCAG